GTTGCAGAAAGGGCTCCATTGTGGAATGCTGGAGGTGTTCAGCATGATAGCTCTCTGGAACCTGCTCTGTTCCTTTTTGTCATGAGCAGTCACTACAGGCATGATAGCAAAGGGGCATACTGTTCACTGCCTGGGATGTTTGCTGATTAAATGGTTCTCTGTCTCTTTCCATGCTTAGGGCTTCCTGCATTTCATGGGAAGCAGCTGATTAGACATGCCTTTTATATTCATTTTAAAATGTGGCCAAACTGGTTTGCAGAATCCATTGAGTTGTTTCATTTGAATTGCTCTTTGAGTTTGTATACAAAAAAAAAAAAAAAAACCTCCTGCTGTCTTTCTAGTACGTTGTTCTATTCAGCTGTACTATTTTCTAATCAGTTAGAAAAAAATGTCAACACACATAGTCTGTGAGACTCTTCCCAGTTGGAAGTAAGTACACATGTCAGTGTCATTTGGAAGGTGAAATTTGCTTTCTCTGTGCTTTGAAAAGCCTAGGAGCAGTTTCAAACGATCCTTTATACCATATAGCTACCGTTTAGCAATAAAAAAGCAGTTTGCAAGAACTGATCAGGCTTAAGCAAACAGCTCTGTGCTGATGTGTACAAATTCTACCCATTGGCAAAAGGAAGCACTTTATTAAAATTCCTAGTAATTAACTGTGTGTTGATTTTGGTTTCCATAGTTACAGTGTAATGAGGAACAGCCAAGTACATATACACCTTACTCAGCACCTTGCAATCTGGTTTTGAGCTTTACTTTTTAAATTATTTTTATCTTATTTATCAAATACTAATTGTACCGATTAATGAGGTTCACTCCATTCCTTAATATGCCGTGCATTGTACACATTCAGCCACCCTTCTGCAACCTGGAACCCCACCCCCCATTCTCTCATCACCCTTCCCTGTTCCTAAAACTCCCTCTTGATTTGTCTCTAGTCCCCCAAATCTTTCTCTCCCCCCCCCACCTTCTGTTCCCTTCAGCATGTCTATAAGGTTGACTTCCTGGTTTCTATAAATAAATGAGAAGGTGTGTCTCACTGCATCTGCATTCTTTTGCTCAGCACACCTTCTCTAGTAATCCCATCTTCTTCACATCTGAATAGTATTCCATTATGTAATTACACTGCATTGTCTTTACCCATACATTTATTATAGGGCATCTAGGTGGGTTCTATATTTTGCCCATTATGAATAGCACTGCAATGATGTTGGGGGTGCAAGTCCCTTTAAGATATAAATACTTCATCTCAGATCTTGTGATACTTCCACTTGGTTTTCTACTGTCCATTCTCCAGTATGGATGAGTTCCCATTATTTCATGTATTTTGATAATAACCATTCTAACTGGAGTGGGATGGTTTTTTTAACAATGGTTAGTTTTTTTTCCGTTGTTAAGAATCAAACCCAAGCCTAGAAAATGCTAAGCAAATGCTTTAGTGCCGAGCTGTGTCTCCAGACTTTATTTTGTTTGTTTGTTTGTAGACAAGGTCTCATTCTGTAACATAAGCTGGCCTAGGATTTGCCTGGCTGACTTCGAACTTGTGATTCTTCTGCCTTAGCTTTGTGTGTGCCAGGACTACAGATTTATGCCACCACAACACACTAATTTTAGTTTGAGTTGTACTTCTATAATGAGTGAAAATGAGCTTTTGTCATGTGCTTGTTGGCCATTTGTATGTCTCATTTTTAAAAGTATCTGTATAGTTCTTTAGTCTGCTTTAAAATTAGATTGTTTGGTGTTTTTGATGTTCATCTTTTTTAGTTCCCTCTCTATTCTAAATGTCAGTGTGCAGTGTTCCATTTGAAGGCATTTTCTCTCACGTGTAGGTTGTCTCTTAATCCTGTTGTCTGTTTTGTTGTACTAGCATTTCTTATTTTGATATGAACCAATTTGTCTATTTTGACTTTTGTTGCCTGTGTATTTAGATTACTATCTATTTTTGTTCTCACCTACACTAATGTCTTAAAGAATTCCCCATTTTCATATAATTACTTCATTGCTTCAGACTTAAGAATTAGTTAGGTCTTTGGTCCATTTTGAATTAGGTTTCTTGTGTGGTGAGAGAAAAGGATCATTTATTCTTCTGCATAGGCATATCCAATTTTGTCAACTATTTATGGAAGAGACTGTCTTTTTTTCTACTATTACATTCCTATCACCCTTGTCAAAAACTATTTGTATTGGGATGTAGCTCAAGATTAGTCAAGAACATTTGACTAATATGTGGGTGTCCCTGAGTTCTAGGCATAACAACACACACACACACGGTGGGAGAGAGAGAGAGAGAGAGAGAGAGAGAGAGAGAGAGAGAGAGAGAGAGAGAGAACCAAACACATTGTTAGAATCCTTCCAGTCCAAGAAAGGATCTTTAATGTCTTGTTGGGAATAAACAAGCCCATACTAATGATTGGGCCTATGCAATCAAATTTGTACAATGGCTATCAACAACAATAGGCTCTAAGTCACAGTACATATGAAACAATGGAACTGGGTGGAGCTGGGAGGACCCCTTCAGTGAGCACTGCCCATATCTGCTTTCCAGTTCTGTCCTTATAGTCAGCCTATGGTGCTCTGGGGCTGTAGTTGCTCTTGTTCTGCTCCAGTCAGCACTGCACAAACACTGTCTCTGGGCCAGGTGGTGGTGGTGCACATCTTTAATCTCAGCACTTGAGAGGCAGAGGCAGAGGCAGAGGCAGAGGCAGATCTCTGTGAATTTGAGACCAGCCTGGTCAACAAGAGCTAGTTCCAAGACAGGCTCCAAAGCTACACGGGGAAACCCTGACTTGAAAAACCAAAAGAAAGGAAAGAAGGAAGGAAGGGAGGGAGGAAAAGAGAGAGAGAGAGAGAGAGAGAGAGAGAGAGAGAGAGACTGTCTCTGAGAGTCAGGATGGCTCTTAGGTCTCATCTTGTGACTTGCTGAAGTTTGTGCTAACCAGGGGAGGAAGTGTTTGCAGGTAAGAGAGAAAAGTTCTTTGGTTTACTTAGTGGGAAGTGACATTTACAGTGAGTTTCTGGCACCCAAAGCTTCTAGGTACTAGGTGTTCTGAAGTATTCTGTCTTGTGGGCCACAGTATTCTTTGCCTGTTTTATTTTCTTTCCTCTCGATACAGAATTATTTGACTCATCATTTCCCCTTCCTAGTAACTTCACCAAGTCTCTGTAGATGTCTTTGTAAGTAGAGAACTCTAAGCCACAGCTCTAAGCTTAACTTGCTTGTTCTCTGCATAGTTCTGAATTAGTCTCAGTGTGACATGGATTATTAAGGGTTTGGGTACTTTAAGGTTTGTCTCTCCTACTACGTATGACTCTTAAGCACAGGGTGAGGTTAGACTTATTTGCCACCGAATGCCCACACATTCTGGAACAAAATAAATGCTGAGTAAATATTGCATGAATGAATGAAATGTGCATTGAAAATTCTATTGATAAGTGTTCTTGGGAAGCATTTTTTCTATAGAAGTTGACCTGGATGAGTCTTCTCAAATGAGGCAGTGTGGACTGAAGTCACTAGCTTTCAGGGTCTCATGATAAGGGCTTTCAAATTCCTGTCCAGTTAGGCACAAATCTGTCAGTAAAGGGTGATTCGATCGGCATTTAATACTAGGCTGGGGGTTCAGCTCCATGTGAGAGTATGTGTTTAGCTTTCCTGAGTTCATGGATTCAACCCTCAGCATCAAAACCAAACAAATAGTAAACACTGGAGATGAGATAGTTCACAGTGATGACAGCTTCAAGAAGCCTTTATTCTAAGTACCGAGCAGAACACCACCAACACCATGTCTTCTTGTTGTCACTAATATTCACCCAGCAATGTCAATGCTGATAGCAGTAACTGTGCATTTGGCTTATTACTGGAAGTTCTTATTTTGGTAAAATGAACTCATAAAAATGGGGACATGGTGAAGGTGATAGGAGAAGAAGATTCACTACCACCCTCTGCTTCTACAGGGTGTGCTAGCTCTTCACCCTTGAATGGCATTCTCTTGGTGAGGCACCAAGGTCTTCTGCCTTTCTCTCCAAGGAGTCTATGTGTTAGGTATATCCTCAATTTATTCCCAGTCACCCTGTCATAGCAGAAGAACCATTCTACCATTTGGGGGAACAAAAAAAAAGTTTTAGGTAAATGTTTAGCAAAGTTCTTACTGACATAAACATGGCCATCAACTACTTCTTTCCCCAGTTAAATTACCCTGTTCTTAACTATTTCACAAAACAATCTAATGGTAGCAGCCATCATGGTTGTATGTTCTCTAATAGCAGTCCCAAACTTTCTTTCCTTATTGTTTTATCATGAAACAGATAAAATCATTTTCATGAGCATGGTGAAAATGAACTATGCACTTGTTATTACCTTCAACACAGTTACTGTGATAATATTTATTTTAGGGACATGGTCGTGGCGCTAGGCATTTTCAGAACTCTCTTTTTAGCATCATCATTAACTTGTTTCTTTTGTATTTTGAAATTGGTAGAATTCAGCTGTTTGGGAATATATGAACAAAAATGTGAATATGTGTATGTTTTCACATTACTCAGTACTATCATGTTTGCCTCATCTTTTTCTCTTTAAATTAGGAAAGATCTATCTTAGAATTTTTATTGCTATGAAGAGACACCTTGACTGCAGCAACTCTTACAAGGAAAACATTCAATTAGGGTTACTTGCTTACAGTTTCAGAGGTTTAGTCCATTATCAGCATGTTGGGGAGCATGGTGGTGTGCAGCCCGACATGGTGCTGGCTACATCTTCAAATGCAGGCCACAGGAAGTCGACTGAGACACTCAGTGGTATCCTGAGCTTAGGAAACCTCAAAGCCTGCCCCCACAGTGACAAAAGCTACACCCACTTCAGCAAAGCCACACCTCCTAATAGTTCCTCTCCCTAAGATTATGGGGCCATTTATATTCAAACCACCACAAGATCCAAATATTTAATATATGCCTTAAGTGGAAATTTCAGTAAAACCTACAGTGGAAAATTTTCTTATAATCTGCAGGAAATGTTTGACGTTATATTAGACGAGAACCAGCTTGAGGATGCATGTGAACATCTGGGCGAGTACCTGGAGGCATACTGGCGTGCCACCCACACAAGCAGTAGTACCCCCATGACCCCACTGCTGGGGCGGAACGTGGGCTCCACAGCCCTTTCACCATATCCCACAGCAATCTCTGGATTACAGGTACTGCATGCTTGTTTGTCTGGCTTATCACTTTTGCAACCTTATTTTTAGGATCCAATAGATTTAATTAAGATGAAGACTCTGGTTGTTCTTAATCTGAGGAAGCATGTGAAAAGGGCAAAGTATTTTTAAAACACTGTGGGCTGAACAGATGGCTCAGCAGCTAAGAATGCTTTCTGCTCTAGCAAAGGACCCTGGTGCAGTTCCCAGCACCCACATGGTGGCTCACAACCATCTGTAACGCCAGTTCCAGGGGATTTTACCTCAATGGGCACCTGGCACACATGTGGTACATAGACATACATGCATGCAAAATATTTATACTTATAAAATAAATAAAGCTTAAATTGTGTTTAAAGAAAAAAACTAAACCTTATACTGATCTTGACCTGTTACTGACAAAGCCTGCCTCTCCACAAGTTTCCCTTTCTGGAAAATCTTGCTATGAATTGATAATGGATTTTACTTAGATGAATTACTCTCTGGTAGACTTACTATGGACAGCTAACCAAGATACTTCAGGATAGAGAGGCCTTTTGGCTGACTTATTCTTGTTCCACAGGCTGCTGAACCTGCCCCCCACCCCCACCTTGTACAAACAGAAAGAGTGAGCAGATTTGGAAATGGTGACAAATCCCCGAGTTTCCAGGGGTATCTAGGGGCCCATCTTGGTTTGTATTGGGAATCTGGGGATAAGCACAAAGAAAGCCAGAGCTCGTCTCTTCTGCTACTCTGCTGCTTCAATCAGAACTAGATGTTGCATGCCAGAGGCATTGTGATACAAAATGAGTCCTGCCTTTCTGCATTAATTATTATTTACCATTTATCAAGCAGCTGGAATGGATCCAAACTCCAAGCTGAGAACATGCAGTCAAATGAGCCTCTTGGCAACATGACTGGTTTTGTTTTAATGGGTTATAATGATAGTCATAATTGAAGATTTTGTAGAGTTAACTCTAAGCTAAATGGCACTCTCTGAAATGCTATTATAACTACATTACTCTAGTGCAGACAGCACCTTTGTAAGCAGAAAACTTGCCAAATAAATGAATTTATTTTGAGTCTAGAAATGATATGGAAAATGGATAATGGTAATGTTCAGCAAGTCTACATGTATTAGTGCTATTTCTTGCCTTGTTTTCCTTCCTGTGTGTCTGTCTGAGAGTAACATTCCCATTGGCTTTGGGTGGCTCTGGATGGCAATAAGAGGAATGGATAAATCATCCAGTAAACTTTGTAATGTTGGGGGATCCAATGTTGCACTTCGTTTATAACACATAACCCTAAGGCTGTCCACCTACAGTAGCTATCCCAGCATCATCAATGAGTTAATGTGGTGCCCTTGATCCTCTGGCCTACTTCTCTGAGTAACATACATATTTGATGGCATGATCTCTGACCCACTGAATAAGTTCCCTTCTATGTGAAGCTGATGTACCTGGACCCTTGGTTGCATCAGGTCCCTGCTCTGTAGTCCATGTGACCTACCTAAGCTGATAGACACAGACAGGTGCTCCTAAAATTAGAGAAAAAAAGTCAGATACCATATTCTGGGCCATCAAATAACTGCCTCAAGATGTTAATTTCAGTTAATAATATTAAAAAGAATTTTGTTTATATCTGAAGATTATTTTTACAGAACTCAGTTAAGAAAGCAAGAATATATAAAGGCCTGAATTAGCTGGCTCCACAATACTGTGTATTCGTTTAGAAAGACTACTACTGAAAGTTTTACATCCATGTCAGATACAGAAACAAATGCATTATATATTTAATGGATAATACAGATATAATTTCATTAATTTTTAAGCTATAAGAAACATCAATCTAGAGCAAGATGAAGTTAGTGTAGTATGTGACTTTAAGAAGGAAAAAGATTTTTATTTACTCATGAAAAAAATCAAATAATAGATCTTATTGTAAACTTTACTTCCCAATAATAAAATAACCCCCTTTTTTTTTTTGCAATAGAAGGAGAGAATTATTAGGCCCATCTAAATAGATTAAGTTCTATTTAAGAGTCAACTTTCAGTTCTGTGTTTCAATAGGAAGCACTGTCACACAGCATGGTATACTTACAGTAAACTATTAGTAATAAGCATGTATGTATGGGGTATCCCAAAGAGAAAGACCAGGTACTCCAAGTAGAGCATTTATGTATCAAAAAGCTTTATTAGATCAGATATTCACCTTCTGTTTTACACACCTTGTTACTGCACATGCATTAACGTGTTTCGGTGAATGAAATGTACCTTATCTAACCAGTGAACTGTCTGATATTTTTAGAGTCAGCGAATGAGGCACAGCAACCATTCTACAGAGAACTCTCCCATTGAAAGACGAAGCCTAATGACCTCTGATGAAAATTACCACAATGAGAGGGCTCGTAAGAGTAGGAACCGCTTGTCTTCCAGCTCACAGCACAGCCGAGATCACTACCCTCTGGTGGAAGAAGATTACCCTGACACATACCAGGACACTTACAAACCCCACAGGAACCGAGGCTCACCTGGGGGATACAGCCATGACTCCCGACATAGGCTTTGAGGCTGCCAAAACAAACAAACGAAAATACTCATCTGTTGACAATTTGCCATAGCACTGCTAGGATAAACCAGTCATCTTAATTTGGCAAGTGTAGCACAGTATCTGCTGTGCAGGTGGGCTGCTGTCATTTGATCTAAGGGGCAGGAATTAAATAGAAGTACATTATGCCCTTGAGTCTAGACAGGTATCAGATGCCCAATCATATAGGTATTTTTAAGTGCTACATTTACATGATAACAGTACCTTTTATTTTCTTCATAGACTTTAGACACATCAATTTGTAATTTAGGGTACTTATCAAGGCACATATAAAATAATTTCCCATGTAGGAAATTCCAAATGACCAGTTCCAGTTGGAACCAATTTATAAACCAATTCCTGTTGGAATTTGGGTGAATTGACTGGAAAGTCTACTTGAGCATGTTGAAATCAATTGAAAAGTCAAAAAAAAATATGAAAATCAAAATACCAATAGAAACCCAAAGCCACTTGTGGTATTTATTTGATGAAAGCTAAATTTACACTTCAATTTGGAATGTATAAACATTTTAATAATATGTTAATGTTGCCAGGATAGCTTTTCAAACTTACCAAATGTATTGATAGTGTCCCACGTCCCCAAATCTCAGAAATCTTAAGCAGAAATTATATAATCGCCTCAGATTTTAATATTTTTCTTTTTCCTGACACAGCTGTTGTATTCAAAGTATTTTGCTTTTTGTTCAGTCCGTACTGTTAGTCAGTTTGAAGCTGATGAAATAAAGGAGGAAAGGAGTTTATCGTCAGTGAGAATGGTAAAGAGAAGCTGAAGCATGGCTAGCTATAGGAAGTGGAAAATGAGGTGTTGTTCCTTCTGTTGTCAGTCTGCGTACAACTGTACACATCTGGAGATGTGAAGTCAGATAGCAGAGATGTGGCCAGACATTTCTGAGTACAAAGGCAATCAGCTCCAGATGGGAAACCACCCATCCCACTGCTCACGGACACTGACTTGGGAGCTCTGCCAGCACAGCTGAGTGTCTTTCCCTAACTTCACTCAGTCTCTCTTTGAATATAGAGAATGTTATAGCACTATTCCACAGCTTTTAAATCAAACTAATAACTTTCTGTTTGCTTTTCGTGGACATAATAAAATTAGGTATGTTTTCACAAGAAAATCTAACTGGGAAAAGTTAAAACACTATATTAAAATCTTGCAGAAAAAAAAAACCTAGCAGATTGAGAATATATCTGTTCACTAAAAGTGAGGCACTTGTAATGCAGGGCCTTTGGGAGTTTGGAGACTGCTGTGTTTCATTGCTAGTGGACAGCCTTTAGATGAGACTGGTGACCCATCTCCTAAAGATTAAAGAAGACTTTAATCCAAGAAATGATTGAAATTGACTTTTATACAAGAAACAAATGTCTTTATGAAAGGACTTGTTTCTAAAATGACACAATGCATGTGTTTTCTAAAACCCCAACTGGAGCTAGACATACCGGTCTCTTTCTACTAGTAAAATGCCTTGAAGTCAATTTTTGAAAACAAGGATGATTAATTTTATATTGTTGTTTTCCCCCAAAATGTCAAGACCCGGGCCCTCAAAACTATGCACCAGTTCATTAATTTTCCTGATCTGGAGAAAAAGTTTCATATTCTTGATCAGTTATTCATATCTTGAGTCCCATCAACCTCATGTGCCCTCCCCTCCCCTTGTCTCGACTGTATGTGCATCCGTTATGAACCTGCTTACCTGATAATGAGGCTGCCTGAAATTTTGTAAGTAATCTCAAACATTTGATACATTTAAACATGGGCTCAGTAAAATGGACAAGCTGACATATGATACTGGCTTGTGAAGCTCTTTGTCATCTAGCGAGGCTCACAGAATTTTCTGTTAAGACATTTAAGAGAGCTGCATCCATTGGGCTCTTTAATAACCATATAATCTTCCATTACTGCATACTTTGCTAGAGCACAGAAGAGCATTTTCCAGCAAACAAACTATATTTATTACATGTATAGCACATATTTGCATGAGAAAGAAAACATTAGCCAAACATTTTCCTGTATGCTTTCCTGGTTTCTTGTTTGTGCGCATTAAAGCATTCAATTGCAGAGAGTGCACTGGGGTGTAATAAACTTAGAATAGACTGCTGTTCAGCTTTTTCTGCAGTAGCATTAGCAATTTGGTCATTTAACTACTTTAAGATATTTATGTTTTATGGCAGGTAGCTGTAACAGCATTTACACATATATCCTAGTCAACAAAGGTACCATTTCTTTCAACTTTGAAGAGTCACTTATTTCTCTAGCCTCTCCAGCCTTTCTTTTCCCCCCCTTTTACTCTTCCATATCATGCTGAAAGAGGGAGGCCCATTTAATCTGTGCACAAAAGTCATCTGTCATTTGCCATACCTATTTTGCTTTGCAGTTCTATTCAAAAGCTAATAATATTGGAAAGGGTAAAATGTATATTTTTGATGGATGTATTTACTATTTTGTTTTAATTTGGCATATTCTTCATCTTCCTCTTAATAATAAGTTTCTCTCCTCCAAATGAAGAGATAGACTCTTCCTTTCTTTCTAAAGGCTGAGTTGCTTGTATAAATGACTAAAATACAGATATATACTAAACAAAAGTTTTATTTTTGCCAAGAACACCAAGCACCTCTAGGAAATACATGTTCGACAAGTATTCTGTTTTGATTCATTTCACTCAAAATGGAAAATGATGACAAGCAGGCCAAATATTTCTATATCATTTGAGGCTGTTTTCACTTATAGAATAGACCATGTTAAAATTCTGTGATTTTTTTATGATGTGTAATAATGCAGACTCATCCAACAATGTGGAAAAGGAAGAAATGCAATTTGTGGGTCCTTGTGCTTGTTTCCAAGGCTATAAAGTCACTCCAATATCATAGTCAACACTGCTGCCTTGTTTATGCTAACACTTAAAACAATGTGTAGTGGTGTTTATAAATGACTGATGACTTACTCTCACCTGTATATAGCTCTAATGGGGAGAAGATTTGGATTGTTATCAATTACACTCATGGTCTTTCCTAAAAAGAGTCTCAATTGTGTGACTATATAAATCATTGCATTTCATCCTTAATGGAATGAATTTTAAAGTCTGAAACCATTTGAGACAACTATTAGTTCCACTTTTAAAAATGTGTTATTTACTCTAATTATTATTGTTGTTTGCAAAAATGTATTTTTAGAATGTTAACCTCTTTTCATACCTGCATACTTGAACTTGTCTTTTGTGTGGGGGCCTTAAATTTCATAATAGAGAATGGGGGAAGTAAAAAGGGAATGAAGACAAGGAAATTGTGGCAAAAGATAGCTCACAATCTTCAGATCTTTAAATAAACATATCCCAAAATAATGAGACACAGTATGTCAGTTAAGAATGTTTTCTAGGCAACCTTAATTTGCAAGCTAGTATATTTTCTTATATAATTTTATTTTGATATTTGCTAAAAAAAAAAACAAAAGAACACAATACCACCATACAAATTGCCCGCTCTAACGATACATGTATACTACCTCTTCTCTAGAGAAAACAGTCGTCTTTAAAAGGAAAAGTTCTGGTCTTAGAGTGTCTGTTCTGCAAATGTTGCTACAGTTAAATGCTTAAAAGTGTTAAATATGCCTGCCCTTTAGATGTTACATGGTTTTCAAATGCGCTAACCACAATTTCATTTCTTCCATGTTAGCAAGGTTTTCTTGGAATTGATTCGTGGCTTATCATGAAGTGAGTTTAATTTAACAAGAAGCCATCCTAGGGAACAAAGCAAACTGAAAGGAACTACCTCTGTGTGAAAAGTGTCACCTATAGCTCAAGGTCTAAGGAAGAGAAATCCAGAGACTTGCTGTTTAAAGGCAGAGTGGGTTGATCCTCGACTTGTATGGGCACCTAGGGTATGCTGTAGCCACTTACTGGGTATGCATCTGCACTGTCTAGAACTCTTGTGTAATTGGAACAAACTTCATATCAATGTTTCAAATAAATGCTTATGTAACCTCTATTCCTTTATATTTGCCTTTGTCTTTCATGACAATGTTACATTTTTTTTTATATATGAAACTCATCCTTTACTAACTATGAGGGAAAACTTTACAGGAATTATGTAATAAAATCTGTTTTATTAGTCCCTTATATCTTTAAACACTGTCAACACTGTAACTGTTAACTAGGTTACTTACTCCAGCTGTGTCTATGTGGCAAACAGCAGTCCTTCTCCTTTAAATGATAATGATGATTAAACCAGTCAACATTAGAGCTGTTAGATGGACATTAAGAATAACTTCTTGTTGAGTTAAGCAATCTAGTTAATCAAACTAGTAAAACTGGCTTATATGGGCAGATAGCTACAGCATTCAGAAATTACTCTTCAAGGTTTCTTCTCATGTTAAAAGAACCTTTCTCCAATGAAACACATCCTCTGATAGCAATGTCTTTATCTACTTGTGGATAATTTAATACCAAATGCTGCATGTATGAAGGTGTATTATAAGGAGATTAGAAAGTATCTCATCAGATAATCTTAATTAAGGGCTGTAACTCCTACTTGCCATAAATACATATAAATAAGAGGGAATAGTGATGAGCTTTGGAAAGTTATAATTTTTCATGAAACTTTCTTTTTGGTAGATGTAAAATGTTCACATAGAGATGAAAGAAAATGTCACCAATGAATTTATAATAGTTTAGGGAATACACAGATTCTTCCTCATTTGGAAATTATAAAAAGTTAAAATGAGAACTGAGAGCTAAAAGTAGCAGGTCTCTAGCAGTTTTGGGTTATATTTTGAACACTTAAAACTCCCGACAAATGGCTACATCTGTATTTATGCAGGGGCCTTTCTTGCCCTACTTGCATGCCACTTTCCACATTTCACTGACATCAATGTGAATCCCATATGCACATGGGTATTACAGATGTGGGGTCATTAACGCTCTATTGTTGCATACTATTTTTCATATGCCTTACAATATTTTCTGGGATGTTATTAAAATGAAAGCATTTTATTGCCAAAATAAATCTATGTTGTTATTTCTGCATTAGCAGTAGAAAAATAATGTAGCAAAAATATATATTGTACAGTACAAAATTATAATATATATATATTTTGCCAATAAATGAAAATAGATTGAGGAGAAAGAAGCACATGTGTTATAGCACAAACTTACAACAAAACCCACTGTTAAATTTGGCAGTCCTGTTTTTAGAAGTATGTCGATTTGGTTCTGTGTTTTATCATATTTATTTCATCTCTCATCTTTGTGACTTTGCTGCTTGATATTTTCCAGCAATTTATTTCATAGCCTTCAATCTGAGTGCAATTTACTTATTTTATTCCCTTACTTAAAACATATGAAGTTTATTTTGCGTTAAGAATCATATTATATTACTATATTTTTGGTTGTTTCTCCTCCTTTGGTAGCAAATGGCACACAGGTGAGCTCATGGGCTCCTCTGGGCTTTGGATGTTTGAAAGTTTATGTTTTTCCCAGCCTCAAGTTAGAGATCGGTAAAATGTCCCCATGGAAAAATATTAAGTAGGGATTCTTTGTTCAATTCAAATCCTATTTGAAGCATACATTAATGCCATTAGCTGTATTTTTAAGAGGTGGGAGGGAATAAAAATAACATTATTAATAGGAAACATACTAAAATAATTATGGCAAAATGATATAAAAAGATTCCCCCTATTCTGAGGGCTGTTGTTATCCCAGGTTATTCCTAAGTCTCTGCTGATGTGGTGGGGAAAATGCCTTTGTCAACTAACTTTCCTTTTCTTTTGGTTATTGATTTTAATAATTTGTCCTTTTCATTTTGTTATATAGGTATATGTAGCATTCTACAAGGCATGCTGGGTAAAATACACTATGCAAATGTATATGTGCTGCATGCTTTGTTCTCCCTCTGCTTTAGTGGCTTTAAAGAAAAAATGTGGTGTTATTTTTGTGAGCAAAGACATTTAACAAAGAAAATGCAGAGTGCATGCATACAGTATCCTAATTTCTATGGATTTGTTTTATGGAATTTAAATGTGTACAAAAAACTGCATTCATTTTTTTCTTTTATATAATAAATTTAAAAACACTGAAACCAGCATTCTACCTCTCATTTATATTCTGAAAATGTACAGAGGAAATGCCAGAAATCATAAAGAATACTCCTGTAGCTTTTAATGGAAAATAAATCTATACATTTACTCTTTAAAGAAAAAAAAAAGATTCAATGAAGTGACCAATTCCTGATTATTCTGCTAGATTCTATGAGTTATCACAAAAGAATGTTGCATTGGAAAGAATGTTTAAGTTGCACACACATGTAGGAAGTAGAATATACAAGAATAAATGTGTGAAATAAGGCTGAATACAGAAAAAATACTAGGTAACCCTAATGTTCTCAAGACACCCTTACGTAGTTGGTATAGCAGCTGCCAGAAGTTTCCAGAGTGATAGCTCTGGAATTCTGTGGTTGGGATACAGATTGTGACTGGACTTGTGGCACACACCCCAGAGTCAGTTGCCTGTGTTCTATAACAGGATTGGAATTTACTTTCATCTCATTGCAGTGTACAAGAAGCTTAAGGAAAATGTGCAAGATGTTACTAGAATTAGAATTATACAGTGATGTATTATAGCCAAGTTATTCCACAAATTTTATCACATTTAATTCATGTCAGCTCCCTGACAAAGCAGGCAGAGTACAGATTAATAGACCCAACTACAATTAAGAAAACCAAAAGCCCAGTGTCACCTCTTTCTGAGAAGTATTTTTTTTTAAATAATACACTCATCAAATACTCTCCAGAGAAATAGTAAACTGAAACACACAAAGTGGTGTGCAAACACAGGGTGTTGGCTGTATGAATAATTTTGTTATTGGAGGGGTCTACCTAAGACCACCCCAACAATCAGAAGTTCCCAACTGGAAATCACAGTTCTTGCTGTTGCTTTAACTGGGTATATACCTGAAACTAACTTTATTGTCATTAGCACATTCCCACTAGGCTGTAGAACGAAATCTCTGTCTTTATATTCATGTAACACGAAGGTCAGCACAGTGGTTTAACTGCCTTCTAGCAATAACTAACTCCAAGTTGTTCAAAGTCCCTGTGTTTGGATCTGTTACTGCTATGTCTTCCTTACATGACCATTAGATTTACATTGCAATTATATTAGTGATGTCCACTTTGTGTATTCCTTTGTGGAACATCAAACTTGTTTCAACAATCAGTTGCTCACTTGGCCAAAGTTTATCCTCAGCCAGGCTCCCATTTTGGGGAGCCCATTCGTAAACTTAGCTCCTCTTTTGAGACCCATCTACTGAATGTCCTACATCTGAGTTTTCTCTGACTGAAGGGATCACTTTAAATCAATGACTCCTAAGCCTTTGAAACAATTATCTGGGATTATTTTGCAATAACCCAGGTATGTTTTTTCCCTAGAAATTGTTACTAGCCAACTCCCTAGGGTTTCATTCTGTACAAGCCATATGGAGCCAAAGACTCAAAGGTCTCCTAGTCCAAATTCTGTAGATTTTCTTTCTTCCTTCTCTCAGTGACTCTACTTCCCTAATTCTAGCCTCCCTGACTATGGGAACACAGACATGTTTTCATGGTAAGGAACTATCCTACTCTTATTTGGCTGTCCACTCCCTCTGAAGTTAGCTGGGAATTGTGTTTGCCAAGGCAAAAACACGGGGCAATGGTAAAGCTCACTGTTTCTCTTTAGTTAGGGATCACAATTCAGACCACAATCTGGAAACCATTGTTTCTTGTGTTGTATCCAGTGCTCTCCTTATTAACAGTAGAATGGTAAAACAGACATTTTATGTCTTCATATCTTAAAAATTGATAAAATATTTATAGGGTCTCAGGAGAAACAAATAATTCGACATTCCCAGTTACATTTCTAGTACCAATTTTGTATTTTATCTATTAAAGTTATCAAAAGTTACATTAACCAAATCCATCTCCCTTTTTTTGTGAGGGGCACTTGGAAAATAGTCTCTCAAGAGACCATTTCCTTAAAGGAGTTCTAAAACATGAAGCCCTAACTTCACAATATGAGTTTGGCATGCATTAATAAGTTGCCAAAGACGTGTGGGAGTTTGTAAAAACTGTCTCAGAGTAGCTAAAGTGTTGCCTATACTGGATGACAATGGAAATACTAAAGAGTACAGGCTATTAAATAAATCCAGATACAATACTCTAAATGTGCAAACTAGTCTAATGATTTTATTCTCCTTTATGTATGTCTCAAAGATTGGCATTTAGACACAAGCCCACAAAGAAAACAGAGAACTCCCTTTTCCATACATTGAGATAAGGCAGTATGTGGTTAGGAGCAGTCAGGTGGAAGAAGGGTCTAGTGCTTCATTTCTCGTGGCTGTTGTGGATGAGGTGGTAACTGGGAACAGCTCCAAGTGCCTTTCACAAGTCTCCCACGTTTCCCCATCTCTGCCTTTTTTTTTTTTCCTTCTTCCGTTTTAAAAATCAAAGTTAAAGAGACTAGAAAGAAACGAAGCTGCGTTTGCTTTTTGTTTATTTTTGTGGGAGAAGTAAACAACTCCAGCTCCTCTTTCCTACCTACTCCCTTTTCAGGAATCAAGACTATCAGGGTCCTCGGGTAACTTCAGAAATCAAACCTACACTTCTACATCAGGAACACTGAGATACAGAGATCTAAGAGAAGTAGACGAAAACAAAACAGAAACATGGACAAGAACTCTCCTGATCAAGATCTTCAAGGACTACTTACATTTTAGTTTTCAACCACTTGCCTGCAGCGGAGGCAGGGCTGGACACTCGCTTTCCCAGAGGCACAACTGTTCAAACTGTGGACGAGAAGACTGAAGAGCACAGAGAACATTTGGCCATCTATTTAACAGAAAGGTGACTCTTGAACGAGAGGAAAGGACATTTGGGACCATAGAGAACAGCGAGTGTCTGTCTACAGTGTTTTGGGACTCGACCGCTCAGCAGACAACTTTTGTGACCACTAAAACCGTGGAGACTTGAGGAGAACTGTTCTAACCAAGAATGGCCTGGGAGTGGAGAGAGAATGAGGAGAGAGAGCGCCAAGGTGCAAAGACAGAGGTAAGAAAAATTACAACGATGTCAAAAAAAGAAAAGAAAAACAAAAGGCCAATGACTTCAGCTACCGTCAAGGGGTAACAGGTTCAACAGAGACTTAAAGCTTACCGTCGTCGGGGCCCAAACCTGGGACTTTTGGGAGTGTGTGTAGGGCTGGAGGTGAGCATGGTTACATACTTGCATTGTGGCTGCAGGCTCAGAGACAACCTCAAACCTGGACACCGG